ACTTGTTACGGTTTTTTGGGTATATAACACATATAACTAGTGAGCGAGTCAGAATGACTTATTTCCCTTTATAGTCGACCAATAGAAGGTTGACCAATCAGAAGCTGCTGAACATTGTATCCGTCGTGTATAAAGGCGGCCATCTTTGTTTTCTCACCGGAAGGACCAGAGGCAACTTGTCCGGCGAACATGACAGACGGAAGAACTACGCTCTGCTACTTTGCTGCGATATCCACTGCGAACCTGCACTACGCTTTCCTACTGTCTCCGAATTCACTGCCAACCTCTGGATTCTATACTCAAGGACGACCGTCATGAAAATGTCTAACAGAACTAAGGATTATATTTATCTGAACCCTTTCCATGGTTGTAGCAATAGAACCGTGAGAGGCTTGTGACATCTCTTCTCTGAGAAAGCGTTTACAGGGTGGAAAATAATTTCTCACCCACAAGGACACGGAAATGCTTTTAGGCTCTATCGAGACTGGAAAATAAGGACGGGACATTTCCTGCCCAATATGATAACTACTCTATTTTAGGCCCGAGGAGTCGAGTACTTGCTGGAGTGTTACAAGGAACCAATTATTTCTCCTTCAACTTTAGCGATAGATCGTATGTATGAGTTAAACGGGGTCTGGATTGTGTATGACACCCAATAGGCGCTCAAGGAACATTGAGCGAACACACATTCATCGCTCACTGGGGTAGACTGTTCTAGTCTGACACTCTGTGGGTCCTGTCACTGGATCAAACCAACGCCTTTATCCACTGTGTCACGTGTCCTTGCGGACAGGGTTAGTGACAGGACCCAAAGAGTGTGAGTTCAATACCCGGTTAAGGCAGTGGATAACTTGGAGAGGGGAATTAACAGGAGATAACTGATAACTGACATCCATAAAACATGGCACATGGAACTAGAACAGTCTACCCCGGTGAGCGAAATAAAGGGTTCAGTTGTACATTCCAACCACCCGAAGAAGGCCGGAGCGTACAACGGCCGAAACGTTGTGATAAATATGGCGACAAAGATGGGGACAATAGTCCAAATAATGTAAATAATGTACATAGTACCTCATCTCAGAAATATAGACAGACTTCGTCTTTTTTTTTATTTCAAATGATAACTTGCAAATATTCCAACATCTTTGAGTTAATTTTTGACTTTACAAAATTATAGTTTCTAAACATCCCTTCAGTCACTTAAGTTCCATACGTGATACATGATGGGGCGATCCTATCTCTGTTCATGACTGACAGGGCAGCATTTCTTCCCTCTTTCTATAGGACACAATTTGCCCTACTGTTCAATCCATCTCTAATACAAATGATAATATTAGCCGTTTCTTTATGTCGAAACATTTGGTATTCATTGACCAAGTAGCCAGTGCTACTCGAGTTAGGTTTTTCTTTCACTCACTGGTGATCGGACTGGGATTAAAGTGTAGTATCTGTTTGCCTTATCTCTAAACCATCAGTTAAGTGCAATCATGTCTTGTTTGTTTCATGACTGACAAAGGAGAGGATTTTCACGCAGTCTGTTGCCGTAAGTTGCCGTTTTCTTTCTGCAGTTGACCACCGGCTGGCAACCAAGGCTATAGGTTACGGTCTACTCTGCTATTCAACAATGATAACAACAATTAATTAACTGCCATACGTGATACACGCTGGGGCGACCATGTCTCTTTCCATTCATGCAGTCGTTTGCCGTTTCTTTCTGTAGTAGACTGGTTGCCAATCAAGAGTAGAAGACCCAGTCTATTCTGCTATTCAACCCGTAGCTGGAGGAGAAAGAGGATTCGTGCCTTTCCCAAAGTATGCGCGTAAGTGAATGTAATATCAATTCGAACCAATTACACTCAAAAAAGTACCAGTTCACCCTGATGCTCGGAGGATCTAATTTTAAATATTGCAGTTTTTAAAAAATCTATTTCATTCGAAGCAAGGCAATAAAGTTACTAAAACGCAGGAGTTTTGTGAGTGTGAAAAAATATGAGTTTTTTTTTACAGTAGAAATAGGTGGGATTAATTTCGCTATATCTGTTCATAATAATTTCAAACAGAAATATAGGTCCCTTCTTCTTTTCTTCAAGGGTTGATCAATAAAACCATATCTTTACTTATTAAATTAATTTTACATCGCTGTACTCCAATAGCTTCATGTCTAACACTTCTCGCTTGTGGAACTCCCTCCCCTTTTCCTGTTTCTCTGATAGCTATAATCTCCAACTATTGAAATGTAATGTCAATCGACGTCTCCAGATGCCTTGATCTATCCCCTATCCTCTTCATCTTTTCCTTTATCACTCCTATTTGCTCTCGCTCCAACTCTCTGTAACCCCACTTGCATCCCCACTTGCTTGGGGTGAAATGCTTAAAAAAATTACATTGTCTTTTTTCTTCTTTTTTTAATCATTTCACCCAACCCCCAAACAAAGCGTTAATACTACGAGGTTGAGTGACAAACTGAAAGTGAAGACTATGAATAGGGAGGATGGAGAAAAAGATAAAAAAAAAAGTGTTGAAATCCACGATTATTTCCATTTAACCCTCTCTCTCACACTTTTTTTGTGGGGGGGGGAGGCGATTGGCATTGCATTTAAAGTTTTGAAGATTGTAGATATCATGGGACAAATAACCGGGAGAGAGTTCCACAGTTGAGAAGAACGACAAAGGAAACTGTTAGAGTAGATGTGGCGGTTGCATTTAGTTATTCAACATTAAAACAGTGGAACCTAATTGCCAATCTAGTAGCACGCTTAAATTCATGTAGTCAGGCTACCAAGGAAAAAAAGCTCGTCAGAGCAATTGCCATGAAGAAAATTGCAGATTAGACAGAGGGAAGCCACGTTACGTCGGTGGAAAAGTGACTGAAGTCGAGATGTCCTGTCAGGATCGATTACATTATAGACCCTTCTTTGGATTTTGTCAACAATCTCAAGATGTACAGCGGGAACACCAGACAAGATATGGTATCTGTATTCAATGCAAGGACCAATAGCAGATATTTAATTTTGCAAGATGGATTTTGATTAGAAAAAAAGATCTTGTATAACACAGTAACCCAATTTTTTTCCCAATAGACCAGTGGTTACCATTTTTTTTTTCTCTGGACTGCATTTTTGGAATAAAAATTAGCTTGAACCTCACCAAATTTTATCAAAGTACTTGGTGAAAATAAAAACCATATGGATAATTACGGCTTTTTTCTTGATCAATTTTGTATCGACATTAAGACATTGATTCATGAAGTTGAGTTGATTAAAATAAAAATAGACATGCCTAGATTATTCAACCAAACATTCTTAAATGAAGATATGCTATATATATATATATATATATATATATATATATATATATATATATATATATTCCAGCAATAAAAATGTTACTTTAGACAGAAGTGATTCTAGAGCAATGGTTCCCAAGCATTTTTGGGAATAAAAATTTGCTTGCACCTCACCAAATTTCATGTGATAAGAAGTACATTTAGAAATAAAGAGATAGAGAGAGAGAGAGAGAGAGAGAGAGAGAGAGACGGGGGGGTAAAAGTCAGCATATTATTATTGATAACTCTCTCCTCCAATTTCCAGAGCCTGTTACTATATTCGTAATGCTTGACACAATGCAAAAATATCACAATGATAAATAATTGTTTATAACTATTTATACTGGGACTCATGCATGCAATTAAAAGTAATCCATAATAATATTTTAAATTTTGAAATCCTTTATTTTTGGCATATGAATTTTTTCAAACTGTTTCTAAATCTTTGACTGTCTTTCAATCATTCTGCCTCACCTACTATCCTCTTCCACCTCACATGCTATCATCTTCCGCCTCACCTGCTATCCTCTTCCGCCTTAGCTGCTATCCTCTTCCGCCTCACATGCTATCCTCTTCCGCCACACCTATGACGTCTGCCACACTGTTTGGAACCACTGCTTTAAGATGTGGGTGACCATGGCTCCCCACATCTTTCTATCTTTTGTCGCTTTTAGTAAGGTCTGTCTTTTCTTTCTAATCCTGGTTCTGCCATCCAATTTTGTTTGACAATTTACTTACTATTTCTCTCTTACCTTCTATATCCTGTGAGTGTCAGATTCTCCAACCCGTCTTTCCTCATTATGTGTCCTAGAAATTTCAACTGAATCTTTCTGATTCTAAATATAAGTGTTCTTTTTGTTCCACTTCCCTTAAAACTTAGTTACTCACATATTCAGTCCATGGCATACTCATCATCCTTCTGTAGAATCACAGTTATTTTACCTCAAGTTTCTTCATCTGTAAGAAGATTGTCCAGTATAAGAGGAATGCTATTACAGGCAAATATTGAATAAAGCTATGATTTTTCCGTGAACCCATTGAACGTTTGAAGTCATTTTAGCAAACTGAAGAATGATGGATTTATCTCCCTTACATTGACAATTTACACCAAATACCTGAATATAAACTTTGCAAGTAAATTGAATTCTTTAATTTGAAAACAGGAATGAATTCTCAAAACATTTTCATTTGGAATAATGACCAAAGGTTTTCGATCTGCTGTAGGACCATCCGAGCGGTGACTGAGGCTTTCGAGTCCAGCTGTCAACATGAAGCGGATCTGCGTTCATCACCCACACTCCTCTGTGACTCCTGTTCACGACTCTTCAGGAGTAGGCTGGGCCTTCACTGCCCCATCTCCGTCATAACCACCAGAGAGGAGAAAAGGAATAAGGAGAGAGGATGATGATCCCGATGTGAGTGGGTGCTGATGTTTAAATTAAGTTTAAACGGAAGCGGAAACAAAAAGGATACTTATATTTAGAATCAGAAAGATCCAGTTGAAATTTCTGGGACAAATAATGAGGAAAAGGTTAGGGTTCAATTTTGAAATCATATTTATTTTTGGCATAAGAATTTTTTGAGACTGTTTCTAAATCTTCAATTATCTTTCAATTATTCTGCCTCACCTGCTATCCTCTTCTGCCACACCTGCTATCCTCTTCCGTTTCACCAGTTGTCGTCTTCCGCTTCACCTGCTACTCTCTTCCGCCTCACCTGCTATCCTCTTCCGCCTCACCAGTTGTCGTCTTCCGCCTGTCTGCTATCCTCTTCCGCCCTCATGTTATCCCCTTCCCCCTCAGCTGCTAACCTCTTCCGCCTCAGCTGCTATCCTATTCCGCCTCACCTATTGTCCTCGTGCACCTCACCTGTTATCATCTTCCGCCTTACCTGTTATCCACTTCCGCCTCATCTGCTATCCTCTTCCAACTCACCTGTTATCCTCTCCCGCCTCAGCTTCTATCCTCTTCAGCCGCACCTGATATCCTATTACGTCTCACCAGTTGTCGTCTTCCGCCTCACTTGTTATCTTCTTCCGCCTCAGCTGCTATCCTCTTCCGCCGCACCTATTGTCCTCGTGCACCTCACCTGTTATCATCTTCCGCCTTACCTGTTGTCCTCTTCCGTCTCATCTGCTATCTTCTTCCACCACACCTGTTATGCACTTCCGCCTCATCTGCTATCCTCTTCCGACTCACATGTTATCCTCTCCCGCCTCAGCTGCTATCCTCTTCCGCCGCACCTGATATCCTATTACGTCTCACCAGTTGTCGTCTTCCGCCTCACTTGTTATCTTCTTCCGCCTCAGCTGCTATCCTCTTCCGCCGCACCTGATATCCTCTTACGTCTCACCAGTTGTCGTCTTCCGCCTCACCTGTTATGTTCTTCCGCCTCAGCTGCTATCCTCTTCCGCCGCACCTGATATCCTCTTACGTCTCACCAGTTGTCGTCTTCTGCCTCACCTGTTATCTTCTTCCGCCTCAGCTGCTATCATCTTCCGCTTCACCTGCTATCATTTTCCGCCTCACCTGCTATCCTCTTCCGCCTCAGCTGTTATCCACTTCCGCCTCAGCTGCTATCCTCTTCAGCATCACCTTTTGTCTTCGTGCGCCTCACCTGTTATCCTCTTCCGCGCCACTTGCTATTCTCTTCCGCCTCACCTATTGTCCACGTGCGCCTCACCTGTTATCATATTTCGCCCAACCTGCTATCCTGTTCCGGCTTACCTTTTATCCCCTTCCGCCTCAGCTGCTAACCTGTTTGAAAACTCTGCAGTAGACGAAACAATGTATTTAATATAATCGGTCCACTTCATGTTAGTGGTCATTTAGAAGTCAAGAAGGCGCAATGTGTCATTCTCCTCGAGTCCAGCGTCAGCCATGATAGGCAGAAAGGATTTTCTGTGGTGGTGAAAAAAAAAAAAATTTAAGTGATATTCTCCTGGCGTCTTTTTAATTTGACACCTTTTTTTTTTCTTTTTTTTTTTTGCATATAATGTGGCCATTTTGCTCAAAGTTCCTATTTTCTTGAATCCAGTTAAAAAAAGAAAAATTGGTCATATTTTCAATTTCCTAAATTATGATAATTATTAATCCTATTTTATATCAATGGGAAAAAAGTAGAGAACTACTCTAATGAAGCATTTACATTGAAGTCCAGATATGATCCAAACGAGATAAGATTGTGCAGCGCCAACATTTCAAATAGAAAAAACACCTTTAAATTCAGAGACTCAGAATCCTAGCTTTTATGTGAGTTCACACACTGATCGTGAACGCCGGTGGGGGGAAATAAACAACTCAGTCACGTGACAAGCCCAAAATTGTTTGCTTCTCTTCGTAAATAAACAACAGAAAATATTACTCTTAAAAAAAAAAAAAGGATGATTTTTATTGAAAGATTCTTGCAAGAAATTCGAACGAAGCTTCAATAACCAAACTGGAAAACTCTAAATGGATTCCATTTTCCTAATAACAAAAAGAAAAGAAAAAAACGCAAAAGATGAACGCCATTAATGGCGTTCATTAAATTCGCGAACCAATTTGCAAAAAGCCATTCCTTATCACTGCATGTGATCATTTTAGAGAGAGAGACCAAACAAAAGCCAAGATAGATAGATACTTAAAAGCGATATATTTCCATTGAAAACGCGTACCTACAGACATAATTGACTGGTTTTAAGCGTACAATGCAGAAGTAATGCTGAAAAGTTATCGGCCCGAACGCCTTCCCAGAATCAATAGTTCGATGACCAGGATAAAGATTTTGGGAAGCGAGTCGTTTAAACACAATCTCGTATATGCTAGCTTAGCTGCCCCATCTTTTATAAATATTTTTTTCAAATGAAATTGTGTAATTATTATCCATATATCTGCGAGGTATAAGTAATTTGTGTGCTAAAATAATTTCAGATAAAAATCTAAATCTAAATATCTGGGAAGTTTTTTAACAGAGGACGTAAAGTGCGACAATGTAATCCGAAAAGACATTGGAATAATGAAAGATGCCTTCCAAAAGCTGAGCAAAGTATTGAGAAACAGTAAAACTTCGTTAGAAACAAAGACATACTGAGCTCTTATGTAATATCAGTCATCCCATATGGCAGTAAATGCTGGACAATCTACTCACTGATAAAGAAGCGACTTCAAGCAACAGAAACAAAGAAAAGTCTACTGAACTCTTAAGTAATATCAGTCTTCGTATAGGGCATCGAATGCTGGACAATCTTCACTCAGATGTAGAAGAGACTTAAAGAAGCAGTTACAAAGAAAAAGAGTACTGAACTGTTATGTAATATCAGTCCTCCTATATGGCCATGAATGCTGGACAATCTCCTCACAGATGATGTAGAGACTTAAAGCAACAGAAACAAAGAAACGTGTACTGAACTGTTATGTAATATCAGTCCTTTTATATGGCACTGAATGCTGGACAATCTCCTCACAGATGAAGAAAAGACTGAAAGCAACAGAATCAAAGAAAAGAGTACTGAACTGTTACGTGATAACTGTCCTTTTATATGGCAGTGAGTAAATGTCAAACCGTACGTTAATGGAATGCAACCTGTTTTTACCCGGAAGAGAGATGCGTTCCCTAGAGATATTTTATCCTAGACACACCCTGTACTGCCACGACTGCTATTTATGTGATGTGACCCTACAACCCTAGTGTGTTCAAGAATAATGTTCGCGAACATATGTCTTACTTATCGTTAAGTGTGACAATCAAACCCGAAGGTGTATTGGGATAGACAAGGAAACATTCCAAAAGCTAAGCAGAGTACTAAGAAATAGGGAAATTTCGCTAGAAAAAGGGCAAAGGTACTAAACTGTCATGTGATGTATGTCTTTCTGTATAGAAGCGTGAACTGGTCAATCTCCTCAAAGATGAGAAAGACACTTGAAGCAACAGAAATATAGTTCCACAGAACTGAGGATTGCGTGGACAGACGATTTGAGGATGACGATATTTTAGAGAAAATTGAAACAAAATTGTAACTCATAGTTAACATCAACTAATGCGTTTTATGTTATTTGATAAAGTTCTTTGTCTGCGATTCTGTAGCTCCAGTACACAATATTTAAAGAAGGATGATCTTTGCCATGATTCTCAGGATCAATTAGCTCAAAACCTTTTTTCCACTATTGACCTTAGGAAGCAGTTAACAGTTTAGATATTTCTGAACAGGTTTGACACCATGCCTGAAATTCATATGAAAGCTTCGTTCTGACAAGGCCATTTGAGAACATGACTTGTGTTTTCATTCTGATGTATTGGTTTTGTAGCAATTGGTGGTGTTGGATGAAACTACCCTCTGGTGCAGCTTCTTCTAGATTCAATTCCTTCATTTGTTAGGTGTTAAAACTGATTCGTATGGCGAGGTATCTGAAGTGTTTAGTATTTACAAATTCCACATCATAAATTTTTATGATGGATTCAGAGTAGACGTCATCACTGTTTTTTATCCCGGTTCCAGCTCATTTTTTTCTATTTTGGAAAGGTTTATCTTTATTCCTTGGACGATTTGATAGAGGATGCTGGTTTTCTGTTCCCCACCTCTGGTCATTAGTACATTTGGCCTTGGTAGGGAAAGCAGGATCGTTGTCTTCCATTGGCAAACACGTGTGGGATGCAGTACGTCATGTTTAAATGGTCAGTGCCCATCGCTCCACATCTGTACTTGTATATGCGCAGGGCATAGATTAAATAGATTGGGGCTCTCATTTCCTCCTTGTTGTACTCCTGTTGAGGTTTGAAATGTTTTAGTAGTGGGGTCCACACCAGACATGTAGGATTTTGTAGATCGATATAGTTCTTCTCTAAGAGAAATGCAATCAGTAGATTAGGAGCTCAGAATGTGGTTTTGTTAAATCTTATTTAAAAATATGATTACAGCAAGTAAGTGGAAATTACATGAGCAAGAAAGAAAGAATTGACAAAATACTTTGTTTATCTTTAACATCTCTAGGAAAATGTAAAAATTTGTTTTGTTGAAGAATTAACATATTTAACACCAGTTAATGGTTTTGCTTTTATACCTGTTAAGTCCCAAATTTTATTAAATATTTAATATACCCCTTTTTGAAATTTTCACTTTGTCTTCATTTTGTCCTCTGCTTCATTGTTTAGACTAATACCTGCAATTTTGTTTCTGAGGAATCCCCATTGTTCTATTTTTGTTCTAAACCCATCCTGCTCGTCGCACAAGAGGTTGTTCCATCTAGGTGCTCGACGGCCTACTTGCTGATTAAAAGGATAATGTATTTTTAAAAGTGCAGACTGACTGAAAGTATTATAAATATTATTAGTACATTAGTAAATATAAAACAAGAAAGCACTACCAATATTTAACTGAACTTATTTATTTATTGTTACTGAGCTTATTTATTTATAGAACCATATGAATTTTAGATATTTTTTATTATTTCTTAGAAAAGTATCCACCATTATTTAAAAAACAATTTTGTTTTATTATTACTCTATAATGTTTTACTCTGTCCTCTCTATGTGCTCGACGACCTTCTTGTTAATTCAGAGGATAATGCCTGTAAATGCGCAGGTCATAGTCTGGGAAGAGATTAAATAGATTAGGGCTCTCATTTCCTCCTTGTACTCCTGATGATGTCTGAAATGTTTCCGTGTTGGGGTCCTCAAGATTCTGTCGTTCGATACAGTTCCTCGATTAATCCGGAACTTGGAAGGCGATTTAGAGACTGGGAGGAGGTTTCTAATCGATGAGAAGGGGAAGTCTCTCTGTGGTTATTAAGCTATAAGTTTGACAAAGCAGGTATACAGTTTCCTATTAGAGAGGTAAGCAAATCCTTGCAGTTATTTGATAAGAAATATGCCATCGTTGCATTCCATACCAGAATGTAAGCTATTGACTTTCATGAAACGATGAAAACCTCGTTAATATAACGTTCATCAATACTTTGACACTAATGGATTAAACTGAGATATTTCTGTATATGTGAGGATTGACTTTCTGTCACCAAAATGCATTAAAATATGATACACCCATTTTTTTTTTTTGTTTTTGTGGGAGGCATTTTTTCTAATTCCAGAATGTTTTATAGAACAGAGGAACGTGCCATTAAATACAGCGAGAAATTATCACCTTCTCTTCATTTTGTCTTCTGCTCTACTGTTTAGACTATAATATCTGCAATTTTGTTTCTTGTTCTAAACCTATCCTGCTCCTCGCAGAAGAGGGCGTTCCTATCTATGTGCTCGAAGACCTTCTTGTTGATTCAGAGGACAATGTCTATAAATGCGCAGGTCATAGCCTAGGAAAAGATTAAATAGGCTAGAGCTCTTATTTCCTACTTGCTGATCTCCTGATGATGTCTGAAACTATGAGAGCCTGGTTAAGATAGCATTCAACAATAATTTGACATTAATGGATCTGAGATATCTCAATGTAAGGATTGTCTTTCTGTTTCCATAATGCATTAAAATATGATAAACTCATTTTTTTTGTTGGAGGAATTTCTAATTCCAGACTTTTTTCATCGAACACAGGAACATGCCATTAAATATTTCGAGAAAGTCAGCTATTTTCAAAAGTTCAGCCTTAATGTCAATTGATTCTTTATTACTCCTAAATATTATGGGAGACTCCAGCAGAACGAAAAGAGACACCATTCCTAATACCCCTGACGGTACCGGCCGTGGTTCCGGCTTAGATGGATTCAGCCGTTATAACGCTTAGGTAGCATGACGCGGAGGCAGCATGGTGCCGAGGCAGCGTGGCACCACCGCTTTTTCCAGCGAGCACGCGAACCGTTGCTCTGATCCCGCGGTTCCTCTCGTACAGGACAGGATAGCCGTGGCCACGGCCGACGTATCACGTGCAGATCAGTAGGATAAAACTAACCTGTCTCACGACGGTCCAAACCCAGCTCACGTTCCCTGTCAGTGGATGAACAATCCAACGCTTGACGAATTCTGCTTCGCAATGATAGGAAGAGCCGACATAGAAGGCTATTAAAGCGACGTCGCTACGAATGCTTTACCGCCACAAGTCAGTTATCCCTGTTACTTCAGTTACTGAAGTGAATTAACACAACCTGAGATGCACAAAAAAAGGCATGACATCTGGAACTAGCACACTCTACACCTGTGTACAAAAATACAGGTTTGGGTTCGAAATCCCAACGTAAATCAGTTGAAGAAGGTCGGAGCGTACAGCAGCCGTAATGTCGTTAGTATGGCAATAAAGATTGAGATAACTCTCCAAACGATGTAAAAAGTATCTATCTATCTATCTATCTATCTATCTATCTATCTATATATATATATATATATATATATATATTATGTGTGTGTGAGTGTGTGTGAATCTGCGAAGCAGACTACATTTTATTAAATGATATCAATTCAGACGCCATAATTTCATACATATATATATATATATATATATATAGTGGGACTCGCTTGGAAAAACCTTGGATATTTAAAAAAAATGTCACAGGTATAAAGCAGGTGATAAATTTTGTTCGCCATGCAAGGAAGAAAAGTTAATTATTGCTGGCTGTAAAGAAGCCAATAATTTATTAAATCGTATAATCGAAAATTCTTAGTAGGTGTAGACATTGGAAGCGCTGGTTATTAGAATAGGTGTTTTTTGTGGGGGGGGTGTTTTCTTTTTCGTTTTTTTTCTTTTCTTTGTTGAATAAAGAACGTAACCCCTACCCCCGTTGTTGAGTTTTTACTGTTTGTTTTTTTTGTGTTTTTTTTTTTTTTTTGTTCCGTGGTCATGGTTGTTTTTGGTTTAAACTAAGTTTTTGTTTTATCAGCAGAAAAGCAGATACACTATATTTACTGAAATACTATGTTTTCATTTAAAGAAATACAAAAATATCTCATTTTAAAAGGATTTTCTTAAAAAGAAAATGCATATTGGCACCAAATTTTATATATATTACAGGAAAAACGTTTGGGTTAACCTTATATTTCTTTAAAAAATAACTATGTTTTTTTTTTTTTTAAATAAAAGCTAAACTTTCAACAATCACTGTGTATTTGCTTCTATTTTTTTTTTGTTTTTCCCCAGACTCTTATAAACCCAAACGTTCAAATTTGGATTCGTCTGTCCACATTACGATTTGACAAATTATGAATATTCCGTATGAGGAATATTATATTTTGCATTCACCATTAAATCCTCAGTAGATTATTTATATTACCAACATTTTAAATAAATTAAATGTTAATAAAAGCTTTAAATGTCAACTCAACACTGGCTAATATTTTAAAGACATCGACCCCAGTCTAGTCCAGCGCTTGGAGTAAAAAACTCCAGATACCATAGAGAACTCATGTGAACAATTGCCATAAAAGTATTAGAAACGGTTAGCATAGAATTTACAGTTACATCTATCCATCTCAATTGTAAATTGATGAGATCTCGATGCCAGTCTATTCCTGAACTTAGATTAAACAAAACTCTAGGTAACATAGAGAAGAGCCCATTCGAAGAATTACCATGAAAGGATTTATAGAAAAGGCATAGAGAGGCAAATATACTGAGGTGGGAAGTGACTGGAGCTGAGCCACCAGATCAGGACCAATAATATTGCTGATTCTTATTTGGATTTTATCAAGGAGCTCAAGGTAAATAACAAGAGCACCGGACTATATGTGGCAGAAATATTCTAACCATGGATGAATGGTAGACATAGATATCTAAGATAGACTCTGGAGAGAAAAATTATCTCATCCGACATAGTGAAACGATTTTCTTAGAAGCTGACCTAGCGGTGGATTCACTATAGTCTTTCTATATCATATCAGTAGAGAACATGATCCCTAGAAGGCACAATAAGTAACTTTCCTAGAGATTAGCATCACCTATGCTGACGGAAGGCACCATGGTGTCTCTCAGATGATTAATATAGAGATGTCTAGTCTTGGAGTCGTTAAAATTAAGAAGGCAACTTTTGTTCCACTTAACAACACACTTTAGGTCGTTTTGGACATCGACTGCCATTTTCATCTTGTAGGACTGATAAACCTTACTATCGAGACAGGAGTAAACGGTTCTGTCATCAGCGTAGATACCAAATTGAGAGCTGATGCCATCGGAAAGGTCATTAATGAATTAATGGTGGAGACACCTGAATTAGTACGAAAGCATCCAAACGAGTGGCCGTTCAGGATAACTCTGATTTCACGATTTGATTGGAAAACATTATCAGCTCAAAAAAGTGTCTGTAGACACCTTAACTTTTCTGCTTGTGGAGAAGACCTGAATGTCAGACCCTGTCAAAGGCTTTCGAGATGTCCAGTGCAACAGCCCGGACTTCAACGTTTTTATCTAAGGCATGATAAAATCTTTCCGCTAATATCGTCTGTACATCAGCAGTTGACCTAGAGAAACGAAAACCATATTGCTTGTCTGAGAAGAAGCCCTGCGATGAGAGATAATGAACCAATTCACCATTGATTCGGGCCTCTAATAGTTTTCCCCAAAATAGGTAGGGTTAGTTGGGAGGGTCTGACGGTTCACCAGATTTCTTAAAAACTAGAACAAGGGCCAATGACCTCCATCAGACAGAAAAGCAGGAATTCAGTGAGGCATTTATTATATAGTTTAGAGAGAACAAGAGCTAGTTCGGGAGCACACTTCTTAATGATTATTACAGAAATACCATCAGGTCTATATGCTTTGTGGAGATCTAGGTTAAATACGATAGCACAAACCATGGAAGGGGTTATATATATATCAATCAACAGAAAATCAGTTCTAAGTGAGAAGTGAGGCAGGGATACTCCAGATGATTCAAGAGTAGAGTTTTAGAAAAATTTACAGGCGAAGCATTATGCTTTATCAGCAGAGGATGATAACACCACAAATCGATTGAAGTGAGGGAATAGAGACATTGCACTTATTTAATACCCTATTACAGAGATGCCAGTAATAATGAGAGCCAATGTTTTTTAGAGACTATACACTGCCTCATTCTCGCAATAAAAAGGGAATTAGTTTTTTTTTTGACGACTTGCTTACATTTGTTGGGGATTCACTGCTTTTATCTAGACGATGATAAACTCTTTCCGCAATTATCGTTAGTACATCAGCAGTTGATCTGGAGAAACAAAAGCCATATTAAATGCCTTGTGATAAGAGATAATGAATCAATTCTAGGAGTTTCCCAAAAAGAGGTCGAAGGTTATTAGGTCGATAGTTGGATGGGTCAGATGGTTCACCAGAGTTCTTAAAAACTGGAACAAGAGACAATGACTTCCAGCAGGCAGGAAAGCAGGAGGCAATGAGGCATTTTTTATACAGTTTAGAGAGAACAGGAGTCAGTTCGGAAACGCAGTTCATAATGGTTATTACAGGGGTACCATCGGGTCCACATGGGGAGCTAGTTTAGAGATGATAGCAGAAACCCAGGAAGTGGTTATACAAATACTATTCAATGGAGACTCATTTCTAGGAGTGAATTTAAGCAGAGATATTCCAGATGAGTCAAGAGTAAAGTTTGGAGAGAATTTACGAACAAAGCATTCAGCTTTATCAGCAGAGGAGGATAACACCTTATATTGATTGAAGGTGAGAAGAATAGAGACCTTACACTTATTACAGAGCCTCCTATAATCGCGATAACCAAATGCTATGCAGTGATTCATTCTCTCGGCAAACAGAACTCGCCTATATTTATTACGAGCAGCAAAGAACAGGCGCCTGATGTGAAGAGAACCGTCAGGCTGGTATAGCCGGAAATAGTGGTTTCTGTGTGCTATGATGGCCGAGCATGCTGATGTGAACCATGGGGGGGGGGTGATTTTACCTGGTATTTCCAAGAAGGGATGAAAGCGTCCATACCGGCATTGATCCAAGAAGAAAACACAGTGGCGCATTTTTCAATTGGAAGTGCAAAGTCCAAGGAGCGCCACGGATAAAATCACGGAATGAGTTCCAATCAGCATGCTGGTAACAGAAAGAAGTTTTGTGGATAGTCAGGTTTAATAAAGGATTGGAGCGAAATATTAGTAGCAAACGGCAGAGTAGTCAGAATTGCCAAGAAGGTAGTTTTGCGAAGCACGGCAAGAGCGAGGATAGGAGGTAAGAAATAAGTCAAGTAGAGAAGCCTGTTGATCGGATTTTCTAGCGAAACGAGTAGAGAAGTCAACGATTTGAGCAAGTGATAAAGAAATGGAAAAATTTAAAGTCTGAACACCGGCAATAACAGTCCCTTTAAACCACGTGTTGTGGTGAGCATTAAAGTCACCAAAGGCAAAGATGTTCACAGATGGATGGAGATATTGCTTTTTCTATAATGTCAGCAATTATGTCTAATATACTACAGGCCGGGGAAGAAGAGGAGCGATATAGGAAAAAGAGATTGCTAACAGAGTTTAATAACGAAAGACAAAAACCCATGAAGGAGTATTTTGTGGCCTCGAGAGACAATTCCCAGGCCATCGGTATATTATATCGAGTGTAAACACCAAGGTCAGGTATGTGAATCTTTTCGGCAAAGAGCCAATAATTCATTGGTAGCAATGGAAGAATTTAATTTAGTTTCGCACAGGGCAAAGATATCTGGCGACGACTCTAAGAGGAAAGATTCTTCGTTATAAAAATTGGAAATGGAGAGAGAGAGAGAGAGAGAGAGAGAGAGAGAGCCACCAGAATCGTCACTATCTGTCGTCAATTTTAATACAAACCAGATATAACATGCCGGAAAACAGCGCATAGTGTGACTTTAGTGTTGCCCACCGGAAATACATGCAGGGACATTCACGCATGCGCGAAATGGCGCCACAGATACCCAGATATTATGCGTCTGTTGATCAGAACAGCCTCTCTAAGAGCTAACAAAAAATTCGGGATCTTGAGTACAAGTCGGAAGCCACCCGATAACCTCACAAAAGAAAGGTCACAGCCACTGGTCAGTCTGAGCACCGAAAAGTTAAGACAGTTAAATCCCTGCGGTGTTGGTAAAAGAAAGAGAACCGGTAAACCATATCCTGAACAGGGAAAAGGGATGAACCTCTACTTTACATCTTTCTCAGTCTGTTCATATCTATCTATCTATCTATCTATCTATCTATCTATCTATCTATCTATCTATCTATCTATCTATCTATCTCAGTCTGTTCATATCTATCTATCTATATATCTAACGCAGTCTGTTCACATCTCTCACTATCTCAGTCTGTTCATATTTAACTACCTATCTATCTATGTTTATATCTATCTATCTATCTATCTATCTATCTATCTATCTACCTCAGTCTGTTCATATCTCTCACTATCTCAGCCTGTTCATATCTATCTATCGATCTATCTATCTATCTATCTCAGTCTGTTCACATCTATTTCGCTATCTCAGCCTGTTCATATCTATCTATCTATCTATCTATCTATCTTATCTATCTATCTATCTATCTATCTATCTATCTATCTATCTATCTATCTCAGTCTGTTCACATCTATTTTGCTATCTCAGTCTGTCCATACCTATCTATCTATCTATCTATCTATGTTCATACCTATCTCTGTTCTATTCATATCTATCTATCTATCTATCTATCTATCTATCTATCTATGTTCATAACCATCTCTGTTCTATTCATATCTATCTCTCTGTTTATATCAGCTTCATTATATTCATATCTATCTATCTATCTATCTATCTATCTATCTATCTATCTATCTATCTATCTATATGTTTATATGTATCTCAATATGTTTATATCTATCTAATTCTGTTACCCTCTATCTCACTATTTTCATATACGCCTGTTACTAGAGTTTCATGTGAAAATATTCGCCCACACAAGTATTTACATGCGTAGGTAATAACGGAGGTAATCTCTTTTCTATTGATATCTATCTATCTATCTATCTATCTATCTATCTATCTATCTATCTCATTCTGTTCACATCTATTTCGCTATCTCAGTCTGTTCATACCTATCTATCTATTTATCTATCTATCTATCTATCTCAGTCTGTTCATATCTATCTATCTATATATCTAGCCCAGTCTGTTCACATCTCTCACTATCTCAGTCTGTTCATATTTAACTACCTATCTATCTATGTTTATATCTATCTATCTACCTCAGTCTGTTCATATCTCTCACTATCTCAGTCTGTTCATATCTATCTATCTATCTATCTATCTATCTATCTATCTATGTTCATATCTATGTCTGTTCTATTCATAGCTATCAATATTCATATCTATCAATCTATCTACCTCAGTCTGTTCATATCTATCTATCTATCTATCTCTTTTCTATCGATATCTATCTATCTATCTATCTCAGTCTGTTCACATCTATTTCGCTATCTCAGTCTGTCCATATCTATCTATCTATCTATCTATCTATCTATCTATCTATCTATCTCTGTTCTATTCATATCTATCTATCTATCTATCTGTTTATATGTATCTCAATATGTTTATGTCTATCTATCTAATTCTGTTACCCTCTATCTCACTCTTTCATATACGCCTGTTACTAGAGTTTCATATGAAAATATTCGCCCACACAAGTATTTACATGCGTAGGTAATAACGTGGGCGTAGGTGTGCGTAGGTGTTTGCGTAGATGTTTACGTAGGTGTTTGCGTAGGTGTAGTTGTGCAGGTGTCTATAAAATATACATCTCCCGTTTCTATTGTACACCTTTAAGTAAAATATTTCTATTAATCAACAACGAAATTATTTTGTTTCTGTTTGACAAACAATCCATCGCATTTTCTTATTCGATATTATAATTATGTTGTAAGGCTTCACTTTCTTTGGCGTCTTACCATGGATTTTGTTTCGTAAGGACACGATTATGTCATAACATTCTTTTTCAACTGTAACATTCTTTGCAATAAAGAATGATTTAATTCTCAGAAAAATTACCCTAAAATAAGATGAGTGCCAATAAGTGCTAATACTACTACTACTACTACTACTACTACTAATAATAATAATAATAATTTAGACTATGACACGCCATGCTATATAGACGGGGTTAATTAATCCTCATTCTCTTTGTGTTTATTTCCTAAACACGAAGCTCTATTACCTTTTGAAAAAGGCTCTCGAAAGAATATGTCTTAAATCACTTAAAATCTTCATCTTTTCAAGTCTTTAAATATCCGCAAAAATACACTTCTTCCTTTCTCTAGTTATTCCCTTACAATATACTCAGTCAGTAACACTCTAACTTGAGAGACTCTTGAGCCTTGTAATGGTTGAACAATAGTATAAGACAATAATAATAATAATAATAGTAATAATACAAGGCGGTGTTGAAAAATTAACCGACCCAAAAGAATAAACGCCTAGACATGAAACATACTTTTGATGTTTCACATATTGATCAGGCATTTTAACGCACCTGGCACATTTTTTCTCAACCCTTAAAAAATTCTCGATTTTTGGTAATTACATTCTTATTTTTGGAAAAGTGGGCCTGCCGAGATTAGCAGACAATCGTAAGAATAACGACAATTCGGCCCACTTGAAGTAATCAGTTAATTATGAATGATTGAAACATTATATATATATATATATATATATATATATATATATATATATATAAGTGAACATTGAAGTCAACACTGTTTCATGCTATATGCAATCGTCAGGCCACATGACGATTGCATATAGCATGAAACAGACTGTCCTCTCTAAGTGTTGACTTCAATGTTCATTTTTATATTACACACGCTCTGTCTTTGATATTGAGCACTTTATCCCATAAATATAGTACATCTGAAGAGTATATTTCTTTATATATATATATATATATATATATATATATATATATATTTAGACATATTTTTGTAGGTACAAAATTTAATGATCGAAATGATGTACAATAAGCAAAATAGCAGATATTGTGCAGCCAAATTTAGTGTCGACTGGTTCACCGTGTTGGCCCGGTCACACTCTGTATTTCATCTGAAGGTTCTGGAGGCGCTTTACATCGGGTCCCGCAAGCCTTTTTTGTGCAAATAACGTGAGTGTTTGCTGGGACTCGCTGTCATCTGCCTCTAGTTCCTTCTTGCATATTACAAATATATATATATATATATATATATTTTTCCACCTATTCTTATTGTACATTTTTCTGTTTTAATTTTGAATCTCCGTGGAAGCCTGAAGAGCAGGAGCAAAACCGTTTGCTTCCCCCCCACTTTGTTGTTGAGTTTTTTTATTATTTAATATTGTTTTAATATCTTGTAATATTAAATTTTATACTTTTTTATTTCGATCATATATATATATATATATATATATATATATATATATATATATATATATATGTCATAACCATAACTGCCACCTCTGTGTGTGCGTTTCTCTATCTTTCTCTGTGTGTGTACACACACACACAAACACACACACATCTATATATATATATATATATATATATATATATATATATATATATATATATATATATATATATACGACAGTAGGCTGAAAATGCCACTAAGATACAAGGGAGTGAAAGAGATGACAGTAACAGAGGAATTATAATGCAACATGTAAGAAGAGATGAAAATTACACATTGGGCTAAAAACAGACTTTAATATGGCATTTTTGAAAAAGTCATTTCACCCCAAGCAAAATGATAATACCACTAGGATGCAAGGAGTCACTGGTTGCGGAAAAGAATAAGAAGAATTTATTGAGGAGAAAGGACAATAAAAGAACAGGTTTCAGGAAGACAGAATATGAAGATAATGCCACTAAGACGCAAGTAGTTTCTGGTAGCGGAAAAGAATTGGAAGAATTTATTGAGGAGAAAGGACAATAAAAGAACAATTTTCAGGAAGACAGAAGATGGCAATAATGCCACTCAGACGCAAGGAGTTACTGGGTGTGAAAAAGAATTAGAAGACTTTAGTGAAGAAAAAGGACAATAAAAGAACAGGTTTCAAGAAGATAAAATATGACAATAATGCCACTAAGACGCATGTTGTTACCTAAGTTGAAAGAGAATGAGAAGACTTTAAAGACGAGAATAAAGGACAATAAAAGAAAATTGTTCAGAAACACAGAAGATGGCGATAAGGCCACGAAGACCCAATGAGTTATTGGGTGTGAAAGAGAATGAGAGGACTTTAGTGGGAAAAAAGACAATAAAAGAACAGGCTTCAGGAGGACAAAAGATAGTGATTGACGTTGTATTTAAATCTTTGAAGATTATAACCAGTATTTCCAAGAACTGTTTGTTGGTTTGTTTATTTTTGTTTTTACGGCTCATCAAACTTTCATGGGTCATATAAAGCGTAAACATATTTTATGCTGCTCAAATAATTCCGTTATTTTTATAGTGAATAAACACTATGGCAATAAAAGAACAGTATTCAGGAAGACAGATGCTGGTGGAGGTTATTGCATTTTTTTAAAGATTAAAGTTGGCAGGGAAGTAAGAATTGGAAGGGAGAAATTAAAAAAAACTATTAGAATAGAATATACAGTTGCATCTAGCTAGTTCAACATTAAAACAGTGAGACCTAGTTGCCAATCTAGTGTCATACTTCAATTCATGAATTCGGGGCACCATGAAGGATAGCTCATTGGGTATGTTCTTAGGCGGGTCATTAATATAAGGTAGAAAGAGGATTGAATCGAAGAGAGAGCCTTGGTACACGCCTGCATTAATCTCTTGGGCTTCAGAAAAGAGGCCATTAACGACGATCTTTATGGACCCACCCGATAGAAATACTATGATAACTGTGAAGACCCTTCCAGACCTGCCAGAGCTGGATAGTTTGTGTAGTAACCCCATATGCCACACCAAATCACACAAACAAATCACGAACATGAATCCCGTAAACTCCCGAGGATCTTTGGAGCACAACATCTTCTTCAGCCAATGCAGAAGTGGTGTGTCTGAAGGACCTCAACTCTCAATGGTCTTCTTTGAAATCAGTGTTTTCTTTCTCCAAGGCCACAGGACCCAATCTGTCCTGTTGTAGCATATAGCAGTTGGTTTCAAATAAGACGACGAACAGTTATATAAAAAAATATATAAATATCTTTATTGTTCGATGTGGCAGATGGGTAGAATGAGGGAGAATCACAGAGGTTAAGATTACAGACACAGGAATTAACGGAGACAAATCTTTGGTGAGCCATAGACAGTCTCTCTCTTCAGATCAAGAATCGGACCGGTTATAAAACATTTAGACACCTACACAACTTCACCGTGCTATGCCTTCTATTGGTATGTCGCCTACGCAACTTCATGTGGCTATGCTTTCTTCCGGCAGGCGCCCACACAAGCACCCATTTCCTTTCATCACATCTGTGCACTCTGTTTATTCAAGGCTCAAGACACCTAAATGTCCTGTTCATTTTAGCCACCGGATGTATTTCCTGCTTATGCTATCCCCAGTTACGATTTCCGCTCACACACGGATGCAGCGGAAGTAAAACCAAAAGTCTTTCCTTAAATGATATATAAAATTGCTATTTAGCCATTGCTGTAGGAAAAAGAGATGGAATCATACCTTTCACAAGGGTATTAGCATGTAAGTGAAGATAATGAACACGATTAAAATTTCAACTGGAACTCCACAAACCTAATACTACACCTTGCAACTTAACAGATGAAATTTTACAATTGGATGCAGTGACATCAAAAGGCATACAACATGATCCCTGAAGATGAATATTCGAAGACCTCGACATAATCAAGATTAACGAAACCTCAATTCACAGGTGAAAGTTTGTCAAGTCAATTCAACCACCAAAGAATATCATCAACAGACGTAAAAGTAATTAGATGTTTTATTCAAGGGAGCTCTTTGTCTCGACTATTTGTCATAGCCAGGATGCCAATAAATCTATTCTGAAAGTAATTCTGAAGATATAAGTTTCTGAACAAAATGGAAATTGTCGATCATCTCATGTGTATGGATGGCATATAATTATTGATGAAGGACAGGAAAGATTTTCAAATCCTGACCAACAAAGATAAAAGTTTTAGCGACTACATTTGAATAAAATTTGGAAGAGAATCTCTTTATACTATTGTTTGTTGTACAGCTGTTAGAGGGGATGGTAAGAAGTGAATATTATACTGATATGTTGGATAGAAAACTTGACGCTAGATTTGAAGAGGTTCAAATCGTATAGGAGACATCCTATCGTGAGTCTGTCAACAAAGTGACACTACTTGTTAAGAAGCTGCCTGAATGGAAATTCATCCTTACTAATGGAAGATAAAGGATTACAATAGGTATAAGAATATTAAAATAGTAATAAAAATATTAAAAAAAATAGGGATAAAAATATTAAGAGAGCAGGAGAAGAAATCAAAGATTAAAATAAGAGATTATTTTAGGAAGGCTTTAAAAAACGGTGAAAAAATAACTTGGAAGCAGCGACGAAGTGGGGGGGGGTTGAAATAAATCGAAAACTGAACTAGGACGCTAATGGAGATTTCCTAGTTTTTTCCAAGAGTATGGAGCACCCATTGTGGATCAAACTCACTAGACAGTCGTAA